CACTTGGTATAACTTGATCTGGGTTAATGAACATACACATCCGACAATGAACACAAATCTAAAACGTTTGTAGTGCTTCCAAAAACTGATTTGTATTTAAAAGGGGGGGGGGGATGCAGCCGGGCACTCTGAGCTGATCTGTGAAGGGCTGAGATGGGGAAGGGAAACGAGTTTAGCGTCCGTCGGGCAGGAAGGGCGTCACGAATCCTCCGTTCCAGAGTCATCCTCGTCGTAGCAACAATCTTCGTCGGCCTCATCCTCCAGCTCCTCGTCATCATAATAGTCATCGTAGAAAAGGTCCGATCCCTCGTCGGGGGGCGGCGCGCGCGTCCGGACGCAGTACTCCGCCAGCGTGGTGGGCACCTTCACGCCATCGCGCTCTGCCTCTGCTTTGGTAGCCTGCACCTGTTTCCTACACACAGAGATGCACAGACGAGTCACAACCCCCAGGAGCAAATGCCACCAATGCTCACAATCCACCCCCATCAGCACCGTCCAAGGACGAGCGACGCGGGCACCTGATGATCTCGGTGTACTCCCGGTCCTTGCCCTTGCTGTCCCGCCACTTGCGGTACATGACAGAAGCGTCTACGTTGGCTGGTGATGAGGTGTTGGGCTCATTCAGCAGAGAGATAACGCTCAGAAGAATGGTCCTTCAAGTGAGAGAGAGAGCGTCATCTTCTGTGCAGGCAAACCAACATCGATTTGTCAAATTCAGTTAGGAAATAACACTGGGCCAGCCAAGGAACATATTTGCAACCACAAAAACCCAAATATAGCCCTGGCGATACGAAGCACCACCGGTACTGGACTTATTCAAATTTACAGCAAATAATTCGAGAAGCAGCAAGATCAAATAATCTGAGACAAGGGATCCACAATGAGGGGAAATGCAGATCCTGACAATCTGAGGTAAGGGTTTTGTTTAAGGGGTATACAATGATAATGGGGGGGGGGAGAGACAACAAGCCACACAAATCACATTCCTATGCAGAAATAACCTGTTTTCACCTATTCTGAAGGTGGATGTTAACTTGAACACTAGTGACCAACAGCAGAGAAGCAAACTCCAAGATGACCATACGGCCATAACTCCGTCTCTTATGCCAGCATGGGGCGCTACCTGACATTCTGCGTGGGGTTCCATCGCTCCGAGGGCAGCTCCCCGCTCTGGGGGTCGTCCACTGGAGGGTGCAGGATGGAGATGCAGACGTCACCGTTCTGGAAAACATTCATAGCGTCAGGGCCGCCTATGCCTGCAGCCACATAAGCTCTTAGAGACTGCCTGTTTGGCGAAGTAGGCAGAGTGAAAGCTTCCTACCTCATAGATGTTTGGGTGCCACATCTTGGTAAGAAAGCGAAAGGCCGGTGGGGAGTATGGGTAATCGATGGGGAACTTGATACGAGCCTGGAAACACAAATGAGAAAGTTGTTAACAGGTCTACTCAAGATCACTCAAAGATTTAAAAAGAAAACAAAAAACAAATACTCATTGCTCAAGATAAGGTATGTACTTTCAGGTTAAAAATAAATCCAACCCCATTAGAAAGACCTAGAATATTAAGAGATGCCTTCAGCTGTCACCATGACAGACCGACACTCCTCCCCTAACATACCGCTCTTGCTCACAGATCACCTGCCCATGCCTGACCGTCATGTACACCATCTGTTCCAAGTTCATCAAACCTCAGTAACAGTGCCCTCCCCCCATGGATCAGGAGAATCTGATCAAAGGGGGGGGTACATTGTTAACCCCCAAGTCAGCACCCACAACTGGAAGTCAAGTCTGCACATTGAAAGTTAGCATGGTGAAATGTGTGTATGGATCCGAGTACCTGCTCGCCATATACAATACCTTTAATTCCACTTAACACACTCACCTCATGTGTGCCTGCATCCTACTACTGCAAATAAAATTAAGCTCACCTGACAAGACAGCCCGTTTTTTTCCCTCCTCATACAAGTGGCTTCATTAAAGTCACCAAAAAAAATCCCTAACAGTAGTATTATTGCTCTTCCACCTACATACTACAAAAGCATTAAACTACAACTAGGCTGGGTCTATAAAAAAAATAAAACAGATGGGGTTAAGGAGTCATACCGAGTAAAGATTCCTAACAAGGCTCTTTGCAAACTAAGTACCGACCCTACATATCATATATAGAGATTTCTGAATCTCGAGAGATCCATATAGAAGCCATACAAATTTCACACACTGTCCATGCTATCTAATAGCTCCTCAAGCACTAAGGGCCAATCAAAAACCACAGAACCAAAGAAAGACGGCACATCTGGCCGCATGTTTACACCCGTCACAGGAACGGGTGCCAGCACATCAAGTGGCAGTGCTTCTCTCTGAAAGCACACGTCTCCCTTTTCACATCACACACATTCCACTTCTGCCTCTCTAATACTATAACAACCCCTCTTCAACCAAGAGAGGGAGTTCCCCCCTATTCCATAACACCCTAAGCAAATAAGCGACAGAAGAAAGATGAGGATCCACATCAGTAAATACTGAGTGGAGTGGAAGACAAAGTCTGTTTATGGTAAAGATGCTTTTGAAAAGTTCTGCTTAAAATGTCTCATGGATAATGTAAGTGTTATATCTGGGACGCCAACTGCCTGCCAATCAGAAGTGTCCAATGATTGTGACCCAAAATCATCTGCAGCAGTGCTGGATGGCAGAACACAGAGCAAATGTGGACTATGGGCACTGGATAATACCAGACCAGCCAAAACAGCAAAATTCAAAATGTCCTCCATCTTAGAGGGAGAGGGCACCAACAAACACTTGACAGAAAGTAAGAGTCCAAGAATCTCCAGATCACCTGATTAGTGACACTTCTAGAGCAGAGGGCAGGCTGTAATCTGACACTGGGTGGCTCTGGGTCAGTACAAGTGCCTCTGCACCCCTCCAAATCTGTCTAGCAGAGAGTGGGATGTTTTCTCCCCATCCCACTGGACAGCATTGCTCTGGGACCTGGAAAACAGCCTCTAATTTATCCGGATTCTCTTGTATATCCTGCAGGTTTCACACTCCAGCTGCAAGCCTGTGTGTACAAGCACAGGGCCCTAGATACCACTGTGCAAAGCGAAAAAAACAAAAAAACAGCAATTCTGGAGATCCCACCCACTGGGCACTGTCTCTATGCACTGCAGTTCCATTGCAGTAACAGGAGACAGTAGTGAAACTCCTGGCTTAGTAGGCCGCAAAATACAATGGCCCAGAAATAGTAAAAATGTACTTTGGATAATTTTAAATAAATTAGAAGTATACCTGGAATAAGACCAAAAGGCCACTGTATCCAACCCAGAGACATGAGGCACCCAAGGTGTAAAAAAAAAACAAAACAAAAAAAGTAGTGTATCTGTGTAAGGTCACTGGTGCGTAAATGGACTGCTCCATAAAGATAGGAAGTGTTCACTGACGCATGACATAACCGGAGTCTGATGGGATTCGTTAAGCAAAGCAACAGCCTCAGTGTTGCTTGCCGGTCTGTTGGGCTGCCACTAGCAACCACCCAATGGCAGCACAGAACCCAGGGCCATCTCAAAGCTCAGCTAAAGTACACCACAAGGCCTAAAGATCTAAACAACGCTTCTACAAATCTAAGGCAAACAGTCAGACGCTAGGTGCTTAACCCTTTTACAGCCAGACATCACTGCTCGCAATCCTGTGCTATTATTGTTCCTGTGTACGACTCGAAGCACCTCTATTTACAGCCACGATCCCAGCAGGATCATACCGTCCTGGGAGTAAATGAGGGAACCACTGAGGAACGAAAGCTCCAGCTCTACCATTGAAGCTGTGTGTTCATACAAATTCTACCTCGCAGGTAATAAAATTATGAGTTTAGTAATACATTAGGCTACCAGATAGGCTTCGTCACGAAAGTGTGCGCTCTTTGGATATACAAGCTGCCAAGAGGACTGCTTTCTTTACACACTCCAATATACCTACACAGAAGCAACTACAGATTCTTCGTTTAATAAACACATCGACTACAAAGCAGACGTCAACTTGATCTTTCGCGTGCCGTTTCCAGCAATCTCGAGCTGATGCACACGACACACGTTTGTTTGGGACGTGATTTATTAACGTCATCGCTCCACCAACAACCCCGCCTCACTGACAACTTGATCTGCGATTTTTTCTTTTGAAGCAGATCAAGACTTCATGACAACCAGTAATCAAGATCACCAATCCAACAAATAAAACAACACAGCTATTTAAAAGAAACTGGAAACTGGAAAGAGCTGATGGGCTTTGTAGAGCAGAGAGGACATAACAAAAGACAATGCAGCGATGAGTAAGGCAAGCCGAAAAGGAAATTCAACATTCAAGAGAAAAACCACAAAGTACAGGTTAAAAAAAACTTCCCAAAAGTTAGAAATAACCAGCCATGTCACCACACTGTCGTTTTTAACAAATCTGCGAATAAATCCACCAGCCCTTTCGATTATAGGGTAAGTACAAACACATAATCGATAAACCAGTTCATCAAAAAAACCAACAGAAAAGCGACACTCAACGTGTATAATATATATATGAATTATGCGGTGGTATTTAGTTAATCAAGTAAAAATATGCATGCCTGTTTTAGTCATGAGGTGACACTGAGGGGGGGTGTGGGTATATTGTCACTGACAGACGAAACAAAAAAAAGAACAAAAGACCACGGAGAAATGCGTTTCCACGTCTTACACATTATAAAATGTACCTACATACCAACGACGTATTGATGTTCCGACAATTTTTTCCCTCGATTGTACGGAATATTAACGACAACAAAGGAGAAATGCGACGGTAAATACACCATCGATGTCGAGGACACTGAACAAAGCAACGATACTGGTTATCGGAGGGGCCGAAAGCGGATCCGAACATAAAGAAGCTACGGGCTACGGGAACACATTTTAACTTTAAATATTCAAATAATCACAGACGACACTAGGCAGAAACCGGAATGGTTCCCAGTCGCGGAAACGGACGTCGGCTCCCCTCACCTTAAAATATCCGCCTTCGTAGTGGGTGTTCGGGGGTCCGAAAATCGCAACTTCCCAGTTGTACAGGTCGGCTTCGTCCACCAAAGTTATCTTAAAGCCCTCGACCGGCTCCTCCTGGAGACTCTTCATCTCTAACATTAACGCCTTTTGGGAGCTCGCTACATGTTGTCCATGCTGAGCCATATTCCGCCGCAACCCGTTTAGCTTCCCCCCGGCTAACCAGTTAACCAGCTAAATAGCTCTCCGAACCCCCCCTCCCAAAAAAAACGGACAGAAACTAGCTATCGAGTCGCCCAAGTTATCGAGAAAGGGTCCTCCTTTTGTTTAACCTCGATAACAACACTTGTTCCGTCGTAAATTATTAGCTTTAGCTGCTATTTCGACAAGCCTCCCACACAAACAAAAACAAAAACGTCGGGCTAGCTAACGGCGTTCTAACTGGCCGAACAAGTAACCGGCTCTCCCGTATCTGTGTAACTGGAACACTAACCCACTCACAGCTTAAAAAGTCGGACTATTTCGACCGAAACCAACGCAGTCACCCTCCTTTGTTTGTTTCTTTCCTCTTTAGTTCTTCACTACCAAACTATCAACCATTAGCCGTTTCATCTACCTAGCTAAACGCACCCCCACCCGATGAGCTAATGTTAAATCAACGTCGGAACAGGCGCAATACAAATAAAACACTGACCAAACTGATGCTTTTCTATACCAAAAAATAACTAACTTATCCAACATTCAACCGCTCGAGCAATTCTATCCCCCTTCGATAACTCGCAGCTGTTTGCTAAAATGTGTCGTTCTAAGGCGGTCTCTAAAGTAAAGGCCAATCAGCGGGGACTGACGCAAGGTTCTCTGGGAAATGAAGTACTTGGGAAAGGCCAAAATTGTAAGAAGCAAACACTCTAGTGAAATGAAGTACTTGGAAAAGGCCAAAATTGTAAGAAGCAAACACTCTAGTGACATGTACGTTAGCGTTGAGTAACTATGTTGTCTTTGTATGTGTCATTCGACCTCGTTAGATATATATTCCTGTTGAAACGGAGTATCAGCTCATTTTCCATTCGAAAGTGCATTCGTAAAACTTCACTTCCCATATTCCCGGAGGTCACGCTTGAGCACGCGTTACGATGTCAAAATGGTAATATAGTCTGGGCTGTTTTTGAACATTTGCGTAATATTATGTCATATGCGTCATTTAAACGGAATATGTTTTGTTTGTTTACACGACGTTTTCCATTTGTTTCCTTAATTTGCTTGTATACAAATCAAACGAAATGCAAATTATATAGCAGTGCGGTCATGATCACCTACCAACGACAGGGAGTGCTGTCTGTTCAGTATTGAAATTTGGTATAAACCTCTGAAATAAAGCCCGTCAGCGCGGGCCTGGGTTTGGTTATAACATTGCCAGGGGCCAACCCCCCCGTAAACACCCATGTTACTCCCACAGTATCGGTAGCAATATATCCATACCATGCATACCCAAATCTACACCCTTGCCTTCCCGTGTGGGTAATAATATAAATTCCTTGGTGCTAGAAGAACCAAAAACTGGTTTTAATTTGAAACTGCTAGTGAAGTGTATATACCTTTAACATATCTGTGAGCTTGTTGATTAAAATTTACAAACAACAAACACTTTGATTTTTTGTTTTTCTCCTTTGGAATGTATATAGCAAATATTTTTCTCATTTATTGATCAGTTTCACTTAAAATCTTTACATCATATTACATCATACAGCTGAAAAACAGGAAGTAATCATACCAGATTTTCTGAATTGACATATCCAACAGGTTCAACAGCCTAAAATGCACCAAGAAAGAAATTTACTATAAGTCGACTAGAATAAAACTTGCCGCATCTCTGGTAAGTTTGTTTCAATTGCACTAAACAGCACATTTCGAGTGAAGTCGATCCTGTGGTACCTTCACAAACATCTCAAAAGCACAATGGAACCCCCATTATTGAAAAATGGTGCACATTTTAAAAATGACATTCCAGGAAACAATTTGATTTGTTCATCTTCATAACAAACATTGTATGATCAAAAGTACTCAAACGCACGCAAAAATCCTATAGATAAAGGAGATGAAAAAAAAAAAATCATGGAATGACTGAAGGAATTTGTGTGCCTGCATTGTAGGTCCATGGGGAAGTTCAACCATGTGCATTCCTTCTCATGCACAGTACAATTTATTTCCCCCCAAATACTCAATATATTTAGGATTCTTAAAAACTCATTCCTGTAGTCTTGCATTAGTCATATCCCAACAGGACAGGATTTAATACTCAGAAAAGTAACAACTTTAATTACTTCAAATGTAGTGCTGACGCATGGTTAAAAAGACACTGCATGACTCAAAACACTCTGAGAGGTACAGAAACAATTACAAGAAAACCAGGACATTCAAGCAAGTAAAACAACAATGCCAGCTGAAACATACGCCTAGATGTGGCAGATCCAGATTCCGGGATTTATTTATTCGTTGTCATTTAAAACAGGCTGCGTCATGCAGATTATGTCAGCGATGATGGGATGGATGAAGGCAGGAGTGGAAGCAACACACCTTTTCAGACTCACGCTCAGTGTTGAGAGGCTCAGTACTTTGAGTACTTGGATGAGGTGAGTACAGACAACAAGCCACAAACATAAGCAAACTAATAGTAGATCAGAGCAACAGTGTCGACACACGCCAGTTTATCAAAGGCCTCCATCCCCTTGCCAGTATCTTAACAGGTCTGTGAAACTTTCAACGTCATACTCTGAGCGGTATGAGTGGTTCTGAGCGCCAGATATGAAACCTAGGAGTAACACTGTACCCAGAGATATTTGAAATAGAGACAGGAGATCAAAAGGGTGTCAACATATGGGCAAAAAACCACGCTGCATAATCTCTATTGCCTCCTCCTGCTCCATTCCAGAACTATGGAGCTACAGCAGCGCTTCCCCGGAATGAATCGGCTTGCCACCTCCAGTAAAATCCAGTGCAGATGTCACTGCAGCTGGCCTGTATAGTGTAGGCAGTGGCACTGCCCAGGCTGCTTGTTCCAGTCCATAACTGGAGGTTTTCCATGGACATCCCAGACCCAAGAGGAAACGGGTCTTTTTCTGTCATATACCAAATTACAATGTAAAGTTCCTGAAGATTTCAGTATCTGGTGCCCCTTGAACTTTTAAGGCTCACTCTCACTGTCGGTGTGGATGTTTTTCCAAACAACATTAGTGTCTTTGATTCCCAGCATTACGGCATGTGTCACATGGGAGGGGCTGGGCTACGCTTAAACACGAAACAGTGTGAGTGTGACGAATCATGGGAGCATCACGAAGAGCAAGGCCAGTGAAATGTCGCAGACCATCAGACATTCACAGTGAAACAGAACATAAAGGTGCAGACAGCCTTAAACAAACCCCTAAGTGTAACGAAATAAAAACAAATGAAACAAAACAACATACAAGTCAAACAAACTGCAAATTCCAGTTTTAGGGGTTGGTTTAAAAAAAAAAAAAAACAAGGAGTTAAATAACAAAACACAAATAAAACAGGAGACCTAACACGACCGGAGGTTATAAAATGAATTTTTGGAGCCGGACAGACCATTGCATCAGGACTACAAATAAGTCAAAGGCAGTTCAGTACATTTAGTACAGAGAATTGGATAGACAACTTTTCCTGTTTAGAAACAAACAACACGTGGGCAAGGGATAGGAGGAGGTTAGGGGGTACCAGCCTATGTATTGTACCTAATGATTTATTGAAGAATGTATGTCAGTGTTTCGTTGGGGGGGGGGGGGGGGGCTCAGGACTCAGTCAGGACTGAGAGAAAGTGAGCTTAATCTCATCCAGCAGGTTCCCCAGCAAAGACGATTCGTCACACTTGGCGTCGATCGTCACAGTCTGATCGGTCTGGAAGAGGGAGGAAATGAAAGGGTGTGGGGAATTTACACTTTGCCACATTCATTTACTCTTTTCCGATGCTGCAATTTATATTCAATTTCACTTTAAGACATGGCTCTTCTAATCTGGCCCTTGACTCTAAAAATTCAGGCCTTGTTTTCAGTTCTCCAAGGCAATGAGAATTTCTACTCATTCTGATTGGCCAGAGGCTTCACACCTGGCTCACGGGTAAAGGAAGGCTGGAAAACCAGCAGTGCTCAGACCTTGGAGGAATAGCCCTGCTTTAAGGAGACAACACATTGTAGCATCTCCTTGACTTCCACTTTGGGTAAACCAGGTTTGATACATCGGATGTGAACAGCCACATCAGTATCCGGATGGGTGGTACTCAACACAGGAACCAAGTTCAGATCAGGACTGTAGACGTCAAATCAGGACAAAATCTTGCCTTGGCCAGAACTATTAGGCAACAAATGATTGGCTGTATACATGCTGCATGAAATGCAAGTGAAGCCAGAACTTACATATTTAACCAGCAGGCAGATATGATGACCCTGGATTGATCTGCTATACAAGGAGGCGCAGGAGTTGATTTTCTCTACAACTGGGGGGGGGAAGAGGACAAAAACAGACATATTCATTAACAACAGTCATCATTTGGCTCATCCAGGCTAACAATCTACCCTGGCCACTAGAGGGCGCCGCTCCCCACCAGCATCCCATCTCCCCCCACAGCATACCTGAGAAGTGGTGGTGGAAGCAGATCTTGGCCAACAGGTGCTGGAAGGGCAAGCCGACGCCCTGCAGCCGCGCGGAGCTGCCCTTCATGTCAGCCGACTCCAGCAGCTTGGCGTAAGCGTCGCTGCGAAGGGGGACGACAGCAGTGACCATAAGGCCGACGGGCACCGACCTCCCTACCTGGCTTTTCTTGTAACCATGGTAATTTCCTCCTAACGATGTACACTAATTGGCCAAATCTTGTACGGGGTTAAAGTTTTTAAAACAATATATTACAGTGGTTCCATTACAATAGCTCAGACAGGCGGTGTGTAGAGTCATAGTCATAGTCATAGTATAGTATAGTATAGTATAGTATAGTACAGTACCTTTACGGTAATCCCTGCTTGGCATGTGTGTGTGTATATATGTGTGTGTATGTCTCTCTCTCTCTCTGGGCACACACTTCTGCAGCAGAAGCTCAGGTAGCCCAGGCGTAGAATGGAAACTTGCCAGATATTCTATACGGTGCCGAGAGAGCACCCAAGTGCGTCACGCGGTTACTATAGATAGAGCGGCTCCGGTGGGTGCCATTCCGGTGTCTTTTTGCAGCTGTGCACCGACCTGTAGCAGGGCGTGGTGGTCAGATACGACGTGCAGGTGAAGTGCAGCTTGAAGTCCAGCTTCTCGTGACTGGAGCCGTCGTCCGACTGGGGGAGAAACAGAAGAGAGACGGGGGTCTTGACCAACGGCGGGTCTACGTTTCCGGGCAGCTATGCTTTACCTTTAAACTGGGCGCAGAATGCAGCCTGCGGATGGCGTAGCAGTAAGGGAATGGCATGCAACTCGAATGCCGTGTGACCGAAACTGGGATCAGGTATTAGAGTGAATATTAAATACGCAAGTTGATTAAGTCTGTGCCTCTCTTCAGCTCAGATCCGCAACCAGCAAATTATACATGTATTTTTGTACACACGGCTGGGCACAGCAGGCAGCTGGGCTCACCCACCTTGACGATGAAGGTGAGAGTCCCCTTTAGCTTCTGTGGCATAACGATGCTTTGAACGGAGAAGACAAACCGCGCCTCGTTGGAGACCCCTGTAGACAAGTGTGAATGTTAGAAAGGCAGACAAAAAAATTTAAAAGATGCATGGTGAAACAAGACACTGGGCTTCCTCTTCCACTGGAGAGATCATCCAGATCACCCTGTCGGTGCCTCACCGGGGGGCAGCTGGAAGGGCACGCTGAGGCTGTCGTGAGGGCCCGCCCCCTCTGGCCGCTGCAGCTTGGCGTTGAGCGAGTCCAGCACGTTGAACTCCATGGACTTGAGGAAGCTGCTGCTTTTATTCTCGAAGATGACCGAGACCACGACCCGGCTGGAATCCTGCAGGTTTCCCTGGACGTCACACACCTGAGCGAGACAGAGATACATAGGTGACGGTTAGAAGGAGAAAGTGCATAGAAAATAAAATATTATGCTCCACCACATAAAACACAAGCATTCAACTCCACCACAGTTCCCCTCTCGACCCCACACACCCTGGGGGGAGGTGTGTGGCTCAGCGAGTTAGGGCTCTGCACCCATGATCAGAAGGTTGCTGGTTCAAATCCCAGGACCAGCAGCCTAATGCCACCGGTGGGCCCCTGAGCGCAGCCCTTAACCCCCAGATCCAGGGGGGCTGCACACTGGCTGACCCTGCGCTGTGACCCTCCCCCCCACCACCCCAAGCTTGCTCTCACCTGTATACATCTGTGAGAGTCTCATGGAGAGACAGATGGAGTAAGTGAAAAGACAATCTCCCCATGGGGATTAATAAAGGATCAATATTATCATCTCAAAGCCTGGAGGTTGGGATTCGACCACAATCACTGGTGTGGTGACCAGTGCTACAGGAAAAAAAAAAAAAAACTAGGAACAGGTGCAGTGCATTTTTGCCCCATTTTCAAGGGAAGGCTGGTCTTTTCCCACCCACAGCACAGCAAAGCACCCCCAGACCTACCTGATCCACATCCTCCTTCATCTTCAAAGCGGAGGAGA